AAAAAATGTCCACTAATCCATTCCAGCCATGTTTACTTGAAAAAAGGTCCTGGGTACCCACAGGAATTTTGGGAGCTTCAGCTGGTGTAATGAGAGTAGAGGTGCCTTTCCCTAGCCTCTGTTTTATCTGCTTCTACCCCTCTGAACCTGAAAGGCATCTAGTGACACTTTTAAAAACTAGGTTAAAAGGAAGGTAATGGGAAACCTGTTTCTTTTTCTGCACCTGGAGGCAGCCCAGAGCGCTGTTGTCGTCTCTATGGGGCCGGCCGCAGTGTGAAACCCAGACTGAGCAACCATGCTCCATGAGTGCCCGATGTGCACAAAACCAGGGGCTGCCAGGGCACTTTGTTCTTGTCATTTCCGCATCCAGAGCCCCAACCAGATGGCCACAGGCCAAGCTGAGTGCTCCACAGTCTCTTAAAGTCTATAAAACTGCATTTCCCTCCCATTAAGAGGGAGAGCACTTTCATGTTGCGTTTCTGTAAAAGTATCGGAAAAGCTAATGTTTTCTCTGCCCTCCTGTTTAATATTCTGTGTGAAAAAACAATCCGCCTGACCTCACTGAGACAGTATTTGAAAGGGATAAGGAAAAAAAAAGTCAAAAAGCCCCCAAACCTTGTGGTTTAGCCAAGCAGGCTGGGTGTCCTGTTTATTCCCATGTCTCAAACACTGACCCTACAATCCAAGGGAAGAAACTGCTCCCCTTTTTTTGCCTCTGCTAGTGCCTACAAATTGACATTTGTCAAAATCTATGGGGACATGGGGATGGAAAGGGGACAGCAGTGCCGTCTTGTGGCAAGCTGTCTCTCTCTTTGAACTCTGGGCCAAGGTCTTCATTCAACCGCTGGATATTTTGATTGACTTCCATAAAGTTTTGATTTGCAAAAGTGGCAGATCCCGGTGGCCAAACTGCTGGCTCAGCAGAGCCACACCAGTTTCCAGGCACCTTCCTGCCACTCTTTTTCATCCTGCATCATGCTGCCCTCTGGGAAGGGGGAAGGCTGGGCTTGTGGTCACCGTGCTGAGCTAGGAGGTGAGTGTCCGCCACAGGGTCACTGCCTGGCCACAGGCAAGTCACCTCATTTCTCTGTCATTCAGTTTTCCACCTATAAAAGGGGGATAATAACAGTCCTGGGCTTTACAGGGGTGAGCTGAGGATAACTTGCCTGCTCTTTAAGCAAGTTGTTCAGAGGATAACTTCAAAGTAAAGCTAATAAAGACGAAGATACAAGTCACCCTAGCAAAAGCTCTGCCTGTGCATTTATAGTGGCTTGGGAAAACCATTTATATTTGTTACATTTTTCTGACACAGTTCTTCACTTTCCTGCTGCAGGCCTTCATGCAAAACAGGTTCTGTGTTGCTACCTGCAGCAGTCAGCAAGGGAGAAAAGGTTAAATAGCTCTTCTGATTGGGGGTCAGAAAAAATAAAACTGCCACTTTTGGAGCTACATCTTGAGGGGACAGTTGCCTGATGTTGATTCTAGGTAGTTCCCACCAGAAATTGCAACGTATGGACAAAAACAACAGCGGTCCCCTTGAAAAGGAACCTGTTGGCGCTGGTCTTTCTTCCCTGAATGCATTGACACGAGTGGAATTCCACAAGCCCAAGGGATGAGACAGATCTTGGGTGTGCTGATGCACCACCGGTACCCCCATGCTACGGAGACGGCCCCGTGCAGGAGGCTGTTAGCCAAAACACCCCCCTTCAACACCCAGATTTCAGCAGGATGATCTGGGGCAGCGCAGGGCTGGGTGGGGTGGTCCAGGAGTTTCCCTTGGTGGATGCGCGGTGCAGAGACAGGCAGAGATGCTCCTACCAGCTTGGAGGGAGCTGGCCTGGGAATGGGGTGCCCTGCGGTGACCTCGGGAGGATGCTGTGCCTGGGTTAATTTGCTCTGCTCGCCGCCCGCTCGCTGGTGTGTTCAGAGCGAGCTCGGGTTTGCCCGCCCTGCCCAGCGTCGTGTGCCAGCTCGACACAAATTTAGTGCCTGAGCTAGGTTCAAAGCAGGAAAGTTAATTCCTGCCTCGGCAGCCTTTATGCGGCCCTTGTCCTGTTGGCTTCAGAGCACCGCTCACCTCCGTGCGAGGCTGCCAGCACAGGGGCTCGCACTGCCGGGGCGCGTGGTTTCGCGCCGGGTGCAGGGAGGGCGGCACCAGGGAGGTAGGAGGAGAAGGTAGGGCAGCAAGGGGTCAGACCTGGCACCGGTGCGCCCAGTTAAAAGCAGAAGATGGCTGAGCGGAATTTGAAATTAGGAATAAATTACAGCGAGGGGATGGATTTGGAAGGATCTGGCACTTGGCTCTGCAAAAGCCCTGGGTTCAGCCTGCAGAAGCTTAAAATAATCCAAATGTATGAGGTATTTTACACATCTTCTATGACTCCGCGTGTTTGCATTCAAGCCCAGGGTCAGGAGCACAAGGCTTGGGGCAGCATCCAGCTTTGCACTGCTGACAAATGAAGCGTTTGCTCTTGACCAACCAGAATGTCAGATAAAAGTCTTTTTCATGTTTCTTCGCTTGTCCCCTCCTTTTTTTTTTTTTTGAAGCCCTAATGGGTCTCTTTAATGATGAAACCACTACTATATAATATGTCTTTTTATATTTTCATTTTTCCCCCCCTCTTGGGATAATTTACAGCACAGTGTGAAATCTGAGACAGTTCAAGCTGTGCCAAAGGGCCTGGCAACAGGAAGAAATGCCGAGCCACTGCGATTTGGAACCATAATACAAGTTATAAAATTTAATTTTAGAAATGCAGCTACTGGGAACTGCTTTTAAATGCACATTTTCCTTTTAGTGCATAAAATGGTCCTGTGTCTTGATTGAGCTGTTAGGGTGGCTTGAAAGAGTTCTCTGTAGAGTAAGGGGCATACAGAGCTCTTCAGAGACCTTTTGCTGATTATTCACTGATACTCAAAACTGGAAGCTGGATGTTTATGAATGTTTATGTATTAAATACTATGGGGATATGTGGAATGGGGCACAGTGGATTATCTTCGGGAGTTTTGCACCAGTCTGTTTCACTGCTGTAGCCGTGGCTTGAGAGAGGACTCGCCATAGGAACAGCACTGGCCACCTCCTTGACAGGGGGATGGAGATGCAAAGAAAGCTGCAGAAGGCAACTCTTCATGACAGGAAAATGAAAATCAGGAGAAGATAGACAGCAAACTATGGTGTTCATCAGAAACTGAGGATAATGACACCTTCTTCAAGGGAACAAATAGGAAAAAAAGATGTTTGACCTTTGGGCTAGAGGTTTGACATGCATTCCCATCAGGGTAACAGTGTCCTAGGGGAAGAAGGGGAAGGGATAAGCCACAAAGATTCATGAGGCAACTGATTTCCTGAGACAAATGCAACGTGCAGAAATGGGATTGGGTTTGGGGGAAAAGGAGGGATGATGCCATCCACTGCTCCACAAGAAGGTCCCCAAGCAGAAGGCATGGAAATTACATTTTTGGAGCTGGTGATCCTACTCCATTGACTAATATCCTCATAGACTCATTGCAGTCTGTATCTTGCCCTCCATTTGGAGACAGCGTCTTTGGAAGGACAACTTGTATGCCAGAGGTGGTCTGCTTTTGGACTTTCTGCTGAAGAGCTGTTTTCTGTGATCTTTAAGAAGAAAAAGCCCTTTTGGGGGGTGAGGGAAAACTACAAAGTGAAGTTTTGTTTCCACCTGGTTGGGAACGTGGCTGGACCATCCCATCTGAGACATTTCACCAAACACAAGTCTGCTAGGGAGGTTTCCATTTCAGCCTCAAAGCACAGTGTCAGCAGCCTTCCAGGATAAGATACTCCACTTTTGAAGGATACCTCATAAGACTGGAAACCAATGGACACAAAAGTGGTCTGCACAGTTGTGACAATAGGTTAGCTCTTAAGAGGGGGGAAAAAGGATTTAAAATTTGTGCTTTCATAGTGCCTACCAGAGAGCAAATGCTCCAGCAGATGAGGCATCCCTCTTGTATGCTCTGTGTGCTGTCTTTGTGGTTACAAGTTGACACACAAATGATCCCAGTGCGGAGAGCAGCCATGGGCAACACTTTGAAATTCATTACCTTAGTCCTTGCGTACCGCTCGCTGCTGCTAGCTAAGGCTTATCTTGAAGCTAGTCCTGCCTGTGACAAGATATGTCCCTGCCCTTCCAGCTGAACCTGGACATGCCCCAATGCTGTGCTGGATCTGGGCCCCTCCAGCACCTTCCCTGTCGCCTGCCAGCCCCACAGGCCGCAGCACTGGAGCTGCATGGGGATGATGCTCCAAGGGATGCCCTGGGGAGTGCTGGACCCTCTAACTCCCACGTGGCCATGACCGAGTCCACTGTGCACTGGTCGGTGCTGTAATGTCAGCATCTGCTCTCTTATAGTGGGATGTCTGGTGGGACCTCATGTTTCTGAAGCTCCCAATGCCACTATGAGAGACTTCGTTACTCCAGTTTCAATTCTGCCAGCTTCTGGTGTTTCTTTCCTATTTCTGTCTGTAAATCCATTGCAAAAGGATCCAAAAATGAGATTTGTTTGGGTTTGTTATTTTATAGCCCCAAAGTACTTGTCAAATTACAGTACCTTATGACAGTCCAGGATTGAGTTTTTGAGGAGTTACTCCAGTGCAGGTTTAGCACAGGGGCCACTTGATGTTTCCTCCTTTTATGCATCCCTGCAGACAGTCCTCCTTTTAGAAATGCCTTCTCTCCCAGTGCGAAGTGATAGGAGGCACTGCAGTTTTCAGTGGATCTGGTTCTTCAGACTAGGTCCTGTCTTGGGCTGCCCCAAACTACAGTTACAGTGCATGACTTGCTTGTGTCTTCTGCTCTTGCAGAAAGGTGGTTTCAGTTTAATTTCAGATGGCCACTAGCTGGTTAGGTACTTTGCCAGTGGATGAGGGGTTAAAAAAAAAAAAAAAAAAGAAAAAATATAAAAAAAAAAAAGAAAATAAGTCAACAGACCTCATATATCAGTGAGATTTTCTGATCTTTTTCCCCCCCCTCCCACAATAGGACATCGTCAGAAAATAGATGAGCAGACAAAGCCCGGGAGCTTGTCCTTTTCAGAGCGCCTGAGTGAACTGGAGCAGTTGCGTCGTACGGCCATGAGGGTCAGCCCACACCACCCAGCCCCCACACCCAACCCACGAGCCTCCTTGAACCACACCACTGCTTTTAACCCTCAGCCTCAGAGTCAGATTCAGGGTAAGTACCTGAAATCCTCCCCCCTGCTCACCCACATCCACTCCTCCAGCCTGCAGATCACAGGGGCTTGCAGGCGCTGCCCCACTGTCCCTCCATCTCTTCTGGGCTCTCCTTGGCCACTTTTAATGAGTGAGTGCCTTTAACGAGTGAAAGGAGGGGCTTCCTACCATATGTCTGTATTTCTAAAGACCTGACAGATTTTAAGAGGTCCGTACTGTCTTGTCTTCCCAGTGGCAGTACAGCTCATGGTGTTTGTTAACCTCACCTATGCTAGAACCCTAACATCTTGAAAGCCGTTGTTTTCTTGCAAAGATGCATTATGCCAGGCCTTTTTCTATGTGCTGGTGCATTTTCTGGTGGACATTTATCAATGACATTGTATGCTTGAATGAGAGAGAAATGCTGTCAGGGCCTTGCTTTGACCTTTCCCATGAAGGCAGCGGCAAAGCAAGCTTTGCAAAGTGCTTTGTCCCCTGAAGATGACCTCTTAGTGCTAAGACATTAATATGTGCGGGCTGGTTTGGGCGTATTTCTGTGTCTGGTGGTTATCCAGTGGGGTTTTATCTGAATGAAAACCTGCAAAATGGTGACTCAGGAGTCTGATTTCCTCTGAGGCTCAGGCTCGGATGATGCCAGTGAAACCAAGTCATCTAACTTGAAATCTTATCTGCCACCGCTAGAGCTGAGTCTGTCCCTGCTGAAACCAACTCTGTCCCTAGGATCAGCTGGAGCTCAGTGAGCGGTGAATCTGGTCACTAAACCACCAGCTGATACATGTTCTCCGAAACGTGTATCAAAATGCGCATTGACAGTGAGATGCACCTAAGGTAGGGCGCAGGACAGTATTAGTTTTAGCAAGCGCTGTTCCTAATGGATTTTACTCTGTTCTTTCAGCCAGAATGAAATGGCCTTAGTTGAGATTCTCTGCTGGGGTTTGGGGGAGAAATAGTTACCGCCAATCAGAATAAGTTCTTTTTTCAGCATTTATTTTTAAAACCAGGGTACTCTCTGTTGCATGCAGGAAAGGTTATCTCTTACCTAAGGCAAACATTTGCTCCACCCTTTTATTCCCAGGGCTAGGAAGGTCTCTGGCTTAGTCAAATCTACTGCAAATCTACTGTTGCCTTTGCTGTGAGCAGAAGGCGGCATTTTTGAGAAGCATGGGAAATAAATCAAGACATTGTAATGTGCCGTACTGTAGAAAGAGGCAGGCAAAAGGACAGTTAGAAGGACCACCCAGCTCCTTCCCCCCCTGGAGACATGCCAGGTCAGCTCAGTTGAAGGATCCGATCCTGCACCTCTCCCAGCCCCTGGCAGTACCCTCACTTAGTTTTCTGATTTGCAGAGCAAACCACGCAGGGTTTCTCCTGCGCACAGCTCCGTTCCTGTAAAAGAAAACGCACATATTATTATGGCTACTCAGCAGCCAGCGGCTATGTGGGTGGAGGTATCGGTCACAGACTTGCATTCTTCAGCTTCTTGGGAACAGTATATGCTTAGCAGAGTATCGGGTTTAACATCAAGTATCCCTCTTCCCTCGCTCCCTGTGAAAGTCCCTCACTTGTACAACTTCAGAGCAATAGGCTTTTCACGCTCGGCCGAGGATTCAGCTGCTCTCTCCAAAAATAGTTTTAGTACGTTGCTCTGCTTTGCTCTTTGCAAACAAGATTTTAATGCATTTCACCTGCAGGCATAGCTCAGAAAATGATAGCAATCAAACAGCTAACACTTCCTCACTGATACCCTCCTCTTCACCTACCGGGCTGTTTTCTCCTGGTTCCCCTTTCCCCCTGCCTCCAACAAGCGTGTGTTATCCATTGAGCAACTTGTTGAGGCTTGCAGTCGCTATCAGTAAAATAAGCCCCAGACTGAAGCCTCCCTCATTTGGGACTGTTTCTGCTGCAGATGCCTTTTAATTTCTAGGGCTCATCTTTTCAGGGTCACACTATCACAGTGGGAGAAAAGGGCTAAGGTGGGAAGGAGCTCTACCACCATCATTTTTTCCTTGGTGTTCAAGTTATGGTTGGTTTTTGGGCTGATCTCCTGCGTGACCCTTAGGAAGCTGGCATACTTAAATTTTTTTTCTGTTTTTAATGAAGAGTGCTACATTTCAGAACACAGGTCTACAAACATAAAACACTTCTGACCTGCTCCATAGTGTTGTTATACCTATCCGCATATCTTGGCATCCTGAAACACTTCTGTTGAAACTCTCTCACTGAAGAGAATGCATAGTGCTTTTTATATAGACATAAAATAAGGCATAAAACCATACATTGCTAACTTCCAAGTAGTAGCATTAAACTTTGCTTTAACTTCCACCAGTATGAATCACAGGCTACTCCTCTTTTCATCCAACTCCAATTATCTTTTTTAAAACACAAAACTAACTCAAAATAGACAACTTAGACTAGTTCTTGGATTTAAAGGGGAAGGTTGCCATGCCACTAAACCACTGTTTATTTGTTGAGGTTTTCATCTATAAAAGGATTGAGGTTAATTTTAACTTCCTATTTTACCAAGTCTTGAATTTGAGCATAAAGCTGCTTGTGTCATGGATACAAGTCCAAGCAAGTTAAGAGACCATAAATTGCTATAATCGAGTTTTATGCTTCTTTCATATCACAAGGAGGGAGAAAGTACACCTGTTCATTTAAAATATCTAACCATAGCAAATTCACAGACCAAAGGGGAACAGAAGGGGAGGAAAAGCTTCCACCACATCACACATGGTCTAAGTTGAAAGATTACTTTGTGCCAGTACCAAGCGTATAATGTCAAAGGACTTGACCCACATGCACAGAGTGAGGATATTCAGTTAAAGCTCCAAACCTGGCCAACGCTTCAACCTTAACTCACCCCCTCCTCTGTACAAGGGGGAAAAGAAATTAGACAGAGCCATGTGAGCTGCGCTGGGGTGTTGTTTAGGAAAGTTTAGGTAAGACTCTCGATGAGCACTTAAGTTTATAACTACAATAACTATAAATATATCTATATATACATTATGATTGAGTTTCTTGTAACACCAGCCTGAACCAGATACTAAATACATAATTACTAATTTTACAGTGGTTAATGTTAACCAGAGTAGGTAGATCTGTTATTCAGGAGTTTTACATAAGTACAAATTTATATGGTTCCTTTACAGTATAATTTTTTTTCAGGGCCAATAGAAATATCTTAAATGTGTAAGTCATTGGGCCAAGAAGGTATTCTTTTGGAAGCATTGATAGTTGAGTTAATAAATTGGATAAATACCTTTCTAACTAGTGGGGCTAGAAATATTATCCAAAGACATGTGCAATTAAATAACAACTTTTTTTTTTTTTCCAAATTAGCCCAAACAATGTTTCCAACTGGTGATTTATTGATTAACCATAGATTTAAAAAATCAATAAAATAAAGCTATTTCTCCTGTCTAAGAAAAGCAAATAATCATCACTTTTAGCTACATGCTTCTGGTTCTTTTTATGCTTTTATAGCCTTAAAAATATCTGAGTTTTCTCACTTGCTTTTTCTTTTTTTTTTTTTTATTTTTTTTTTTTTTTATTTTGTAACCTTATATGTTAAGTTTCAGCTGGGACCGTGCTTTTATGACCAAGTCTAAAATCCCTGGAAACAAGAGGCTGTAATAAAATTGCTGACAGATCTTTAAGTGAAGCAGCAGAATTAGCTCTGATGGTAAAGCAAGAGAGATCATTTAAAGAGCAGCTCTTTGAATTAACACGAAACATAACGACTGAGAGATTACTTTGTTACAAGCCAGCCTTTTGTCTTCCTCCAGGTGCAATACGCTTTGTTTAAGAGACATTTCAAGGTCCTTCCTATCGTAATCTCATTCCACCAAAACTAGCCCAAGTTTATCAGGGTTCCCATGAACCAGTGAAACACAGGAGTGGAGTCAAGGGCGATATTTAAGCCCAGGGAATTAAAATGGCTTTGTTCCTACTACAGCTGTATCCTGCCCTGATTTTTAATATTTCCACTTTTAAATCAGCTTAATAGGCTGTAGGTTAATAGAGTTAGAAGTGTTCAGAAAGCAGTGTTTCAGAGCGGGCTTCAACGGAGCTGTCATTCTGCCTCCGCATTTTGTTGCTGCAAAATGCAGTTTTCAGGCGCTTTTAAGAATCCGGATCAACGTGCTCATAGCTCCCTGCCAAAACAGATAAACAGTCTCTCAAGAGTAGGGACTCGCCAACTCTTTCCATTGTGCAATATGCTAAGTGCCAATATTTTTATGTGCTCTTTGGACACATCCGCGTCTCCCCATCTTTCCTTAACCCGGCGCTCTTGCAGAGTGAGTACATGGTGTTTTAGCAGCGTGTCATCTCGTTTCCCCTTCATTAACCACCTGACCTCTCCATCCCAAAATACACTCCCCGGCATGTCCAGCGAGTGCTGCCTGAGCTTGGCACCCTTCCTATCGGCACAGCTCCTGCCTCCCCCCCGGCCGGCGGCTTCGCGCCAGCACGCCGGCGGGCAGCACGGGCAGCGTGGGAGCTGGCAGCGGGTACATCCTTTCCAATCAGAGCAGCCAGGGCTGCCAACCTCCCCGGCTCCGTCGCTTCTGGATGTGCAGGAGCCCTCCTCCCCAGCCCCGGAGTACAGCTTCCCCACCACGAGCCGGGGCGCGAATGTTTTGCTAGCAGCCAGGGGAGATCCCCTTTGAAGGAGCTCTGCTCCATTGCCCATCTCCCAGGGCGGGCAGCCAACATGGCAAACGTGTGCCAGGAGACCACTCCGGGAGAGGGGGAGAGATGCTCTTTCTCCTTTCCCCTCCTTTCAATGCCAGTAGCCACCGAAAAGCTCCTGCATGGGGAAAGGGAAGGAGGTGAAGCCACCCCGGTGGCATATACCCAGACCTTGAGTGCCAGAGCTACCAGGAGGTTGCAGGAAATTTGTTGAAATAGTGATGTTTCCCCAAAATATTTTGCAAACCAAATCTGTTTAGCTGGAAGGGTTCCAACTGGCTCTATCAAAAAGGAAATTTTATAGAGAGA